ATATATATATATATTTATTTTTTTTTTAACCCATGCTACTCTAAAAAGGAAGACGACAGCGGCTTTGGTTTCAGCCCTTACCTGGGACGAGGGTGATGGGTCTAACGGTTTGACCCTGCTGTACGTTCAGAACAATCCCAACCGGGTTCATTGTGTTTTGTACAGGCCGCACGTTCCTCACGGGAAATCCCTGCAGTCAAACAGCACCGTTACCGTTAACACACCGAGCACCTCTGAAGCACTTTCAATATGAGCTTTCTATCCTAAAAACCAAACAAATAAAAAACCCCACCCCGCAGTACTGTTGTCTACAGATCAACTGAACTATGAGGCCGCACCTCACCTTCCTCTGACCCGACGACGTTCTGATACACAGTCTCCACCTCCCCCAGCACCTACCGAAATCTTCTCCCAGGTCTTAGCAAAGGCTCAAAGAAGCCAGAGGACATTTAAAAAAAATTACCCAGGAAAATAAAACAAAGTAGTGAAGTATTCAGCAAGGTCAAATTCACGCCGAGGGGACAGATTCTTCCACGCAAGAGCGCACCAGAGCTTCCGCCGGAGCCGCGCGGGCGCTCACCTGGGTTGTTATGAAGATGGGCTGGCTGGTCACCGGAGAATTCGTGACGTGGTTGGCGTTCTGCATGATCTGGACGGGTCGCAGCACTGGCTGAGTGACCATGGTGCCCAGACCCGAGGTGGGGTTCTGGGTGAGGATTAGCGGCTGTCCACTTTGCTGAACCAGAGGATTGCCAGCTGGAAGAAGAACAGAAGCACAGCACAAGTCACTTTGTCAGGTGGAAAGGCTGCTGCTTCTCACGCACGCCCTCAGCTAGCAATTTCAGCCTTCAGAATTTGAATGAGCTTTCCAGAGCAAGCTTGAAAAGTAAACTGATGAAAATATCCCACCCTCCTATGTACGGTTCTAATATTCCCATTCAGACGAGGCTTTTCCAAGCTGCTGAGGAACCAGGTGTTCAAATCCCTTAGCCTCGAGCAACCTCAGAAATGGATGATTCTGGCTCCTACGTGTCCTTTGAACACGGCCACAGCAGCTAAAGAAAGTATTTTTTCTAGTCTCAGTAAGTAAAAATTCACCTGCTGGCAGATACCAGGAAAACTCAGGCTGTACCCCTGGCACAGGGTGTGTACGAGCAGCAGAGCAACACTGAAAGTTTCTGAACAGCATAGACCATCACAGGCCATCGGGGACATCGGAGTCTGCCGAGGGCTTCCGTTAACCAGGACCAGGCAGTCACAAGAATTCTGGAGTAGCCTAAAGTCATCTTCACCATCCTCGGATGGAAAGAGGACTACGGGACTGAACCCTCCCGAAGCGGCCGACAAACTTCAACAACAGAAAGAAAAAAAAATAGAAGAGATTGGAAACATCTGGATTACGCTGAAGTCACGATGTTCCCGAAGCGGCCAACAAACTTCAACAACAGAAAGAAAAAAAATAGAAGAGATTGAAAACATCTGGATTACGCTGAAGTCACGATGTGCAGTCTGTGTCGTAAGAGCATCTTATAACGGTCCAAAGCGCTTGTTCTCCTGACTTGAAAGTGAAAAATCCTGCTTGAAAAAGAAAGTTAAGATGGGAAGGAGACAGTAGTTTTATCTGCTAACCTCACCGTCCTTAATATCACGTGAAACATCTCACCCAAGTCCTCCGGTCTGAGAGCATGCTCTGTAATTACCAACAACCAGGCTCCTGCAGCTTCGTGAGATCCCACGGCAGCCGAGACCCGCGGGCTGTGCAGGTGCTCCCAGCCAGCTCCATTTGGAACAAAACCCCTCAGCTCCCAGCACCTTCACGGGGTGTTACAGCACGGGATTTTAGGTAGTATTTCCTTGTCTGACAGCAACTCGCTCTTTACACCAAGCAGCAGCAAGGGGACTCCTTCCAGTCGTGCCGACGTACCTGCCAGCGAGCTCTAACCCCGGTGCCACCCGCCGTCGCGCCCGGAGGGATTTCCCTGATGGATTTTCACCGTACACATCTACTCAGACTTGGTGCTCATAGCCACAGCTGTCCAGTAACTTGCCGTGAGGTTCTGTCCTCGGGCGCACGTCTCCCCGGGAAGCCTGGACCGCCAACACCCCAGCACCGCTGCGAGGGTCACCTAACGCCTTCCATCCCCTGCAGGCTGCTAACGGGACGGATGGACGTCTGCCTCGATGATTTATTTTTTTCATGTGGCAGGCTGCAACAAGTAGAATTGGTCAGTCATTAAAGAAAAGCCAGTTTTGCTTCTTCTGGTGCCTTTTTTTCCTTGGAACATTTCCCTCTGCAGGGCTGCCCACCGGCTGTCCGTGATCTCCGACCTTCCTCAGCTGCTGCTCGTCTCGGCTCGCACCAGCCCCGCAGAGGCTTCCGAGCAGTCGGCTGCGTCCTTCAGTCAAGATCCCGTTTGTCCCACATCTGCTCCCAGTTCCACAAGCTCCTACTTGCCAACCAGAGCAGACTGGCAACATTTGTACAGAATGAGGAAACTCAAACCCAGGAATATTGCCCAATTGCTTCTGGCAACTTGGGGGCTCGTGGCGCACCAAACGAAGATCAGGAGAGTCTCCCGTCTGCTGCCAACGCCTGCTGGCACCCAAGGGATGGGGAAGGAATCAAAAGGAGGAGAGGAGAAGGGAGGAGGCTGTGAAGAAATGATCTACAACCACCGAGGTGCCGGTTAAGAGAACACAGAGTGAACCTTTGCTACCACACGCTAACGACGCTCAGCAGAACGCCTTTGACGTTATTCCCCGGTCTGCGGGAGGATGGACTCAATCCTCTGCTCCCACGCACCGCGGCAGCTCAAGACCGTGCTCAAGGTCGGCTCCGATAGCTTTCCTGCACCCTCCCACAGCATCAGCTTTAGCTCACGGCCAGACGTCGGGTTTCCCACGGAAACCCACCTCACTTGGAGCAGAGGGGACGATGGTCGGGAACACATCAAAGCCACGCGGGAAATGAGGAGATGTCTGGAGGCGCCTGACTCGAGCACCGTAAACGACGGAAACTCGACAGGAGCAAGGGAGCAGCCAAGAGGGTGCTTCGGTACCCAGCGCTGTCCCCTATCATCTGGAGAAACCCCAATCTTACCCCACTAAGGAGTTTAGCAAAAAATTTACTTTTTCCTCCGGTGATCACTACATCTTCATCTCCCAAACGCCTGCCACATGTGGCCAGGTCTAAAGACAGCGAGGAGCTTACAAGTGACCTGCACGTATCAAATGCATGACCTTTTCTAAAAATCACAGGAGATGCAAAAACATTAAAAAAAAAAAAAAAAAAGAAAAATCAGCCACATGTGGCCAGGTCTAAAGACAGCGAGGAGCTTACAACAGCAAGGGACCTGCACGTATCAAATGCGTGACCTTTTCTAAAAATCACAGGAGATGCAAAAACATTAAAAAAAAAGAAAAATCAGGCCCCAAATATTTCGAACTCAACAAGCAGGATACTGATCTGGGCTTCAATTCCTTCCTCCTCTCTACCATCCTCCCTCACAAAGTTCAGCTCACCCACATGTTTGTTGAGACCGACAGATCATCCAGGTTGTTTTGAGGCTACAAAATGATCCAACTGAAGCTGCCGATGCTGGAGGGAAGGGCTGCTGCGCCCGCACAGCAAATGTTTCTGATGTAACCGCGTAAGCCCAGGAGAAGTCCCGCTGCACGCCAGGGTGTTCTGACACACCGCCAGGACGGCTTCTTTTCGTGGAAGATGCTTTACGCTGACAGTCTGGATGCTGCTGGCACTCCTCGGCGTACACGATCCAAATGTTTTCATGAGGATTACACCAGGCAGAAGCAGCGGGGTGATGGAGGACAGCACCAGGAGGTTCAGATCCAAGGCACACTGCTGCCAAGTCCATGCAGCATCTCGACTTGCTTTTTCAAGCACCTTAGAGAGCAGGGGGACTGCTGGAAAAGAGACACCAGACCTCCAGAGCGTGGGGGGAAAAACCCAAGAAAGCATCAATCAGCAAACATAACCTCAAAGCAAGGCAGAGGATGGAGATGCTGAGACGTCATGAAGGGTAGCAGCCCATCTTTCACCGTTTTCTTCTTTAGGATCAAACCCAACGAGCACGAACTCACAAGGGTCTGAACTTTAAAAAGAGGACATGCTGCCGGCCTTTGCTGTTTCATAAAGCAAGGCCTCTGAAGAGGGACAGGAAAAAACACGGAAGGAGTGGATGAACAGACTGGATTTGCAATCTTAAAAAAATCTTTAAAATCTTAAAAAAAATTCAGAGAGGTAACCCCTTCAGAATACTCCTAAAAATCAGGTGATTATCAAAGAGAAGAGACAGAGTAGTTGAGGAAAAAAAGAAAAAGACACTTCAGCTAGTTCTACCAGGCTCTGAACATTTCCATCCCACCTACTGTCCGACAAAGGCTCAAATCCAGAGCACCAGCAGAGCATCTGCTCCTCCTCAGCATCCCGAGGATCGTACTTGGCTGCGACAAGGACCACGCAGTCACCCCCAAATCCTTCCAGGCGTGGAGACCCTGCCAAACGCTGGAGACAGATGCTGGCAGGTATCTGAGGAGCCTTCCAGCATTCTTAGAAGCAACTTGAGACGGCTCCTGTGCTCTCTGAGCCCTCCTCCAGCACGTGTGGCAGGTCGCACACTGCTCCAAGGCACGGGAGGAGAAGCGAAGAGAAGCTTCTGCCACCACACCGCTCCCTAGGCACCAGGCTGGCTGAGCGGGATGTAAAGAAACATGGAACTTTTGCCAGCCAGCGTAAGAGAGAAAAATTATCCGAAATGTTGTGTAGAGTCTAGGAGAGAGAGGGATGACGGGGCAGCACGCGTCCTGTCGCACCGATGCAGCAATCCTTTAAACTCACCTCCCTTCCTCCCCTGACTTAGCCATACACTGTTAGCACATATGAAATGAAAGCGTGTTTTTGTTAAGAAATATTAATTTTTAGCTTAAATAAGTTTTAAACAGAATTAATTCGATTATAAGGTTGTGCGATTCAGCACGCTGTTTGCTCAGCTCCACGTACTTGGCAAGCAGCTGGATTTGCTGCAGCCTGAGGCCACGAGCCGTAAATTCCCACCCGGGCATCCCTTCCCCGGCAGCAGCTGGTGCAGCACGCTGTTTGGGGTTTTTGGTGTGGGAACGAAGTAGATAACACCCTGAAGCTGCAGCTGGGCTGAGCGTTACGGCTGGGTGTTTATCCCAAGCCCAGCACTTGTTATCCTAAGTCTGGGACTTCTCCAGTTTCTCACGTTCTGCAGAAAACACACAGAGCAGAAGACACGGAGGCTTCAAGGCTCCAAACAGCATCAGCAGGATCAAGAGAAGAACAACTGACAACCTGCCCAGAGACAGAGAAAGAATCCAGGAGGTGTGACGCGACCTCAGACCAAAAATCAGAATTGGACCAAGAGCCGTGTGAGGAGCACAGGAGGGGCGGGAGGACAGTCTGCAGGGGTGGGATCTCTGGGCCGGGGTCCCTCTCTGGAGGCACCCAGCTCCAGCTGACCTTGCTGCTGGACCATTTCGTAATTTATTTTTTCTTCACTTTGATGCCCAAGACTCTGCTACAGGAAACCGAGGGTTTGAACTACGGGGACAACACCGGACGTGCGGCCAGCACGGGCTTCCTTAACAATTTTCTTCTATAATGTCTGTATTTTCAGGACAAAAAGCATTTTGTGATTCTTGTGGTGAAAAGAATCGCGGGGATGTAAGATATATTTTTATCTGATGGTGGAATTACCAAAAAGCAGCCAAGC